AGTGTTACTAAAGACCAAAAAGTGAGGGCTTTTCTAGGTCAAAAGGCTTAAGGGACACCACAGCTACGAGCAGGGCAATGTCCTCAACAGGTGCCCAGCTGGCATGCTGGTGCGTGCTGGGAAATCTGAATATGGGCAGGATATTAGGTAAGATTGTGGTCTCCGTCTGATAAAAGTGAAATGCGTTGGGTGTAATAATACGGCTGTAGATATGCAGGAGAATGTCCTGTTCTCAGGTGACAGAGGGGGAGGGACTTAGGGGTGTGCTAGGATGTCTGCAACTTAAAGTCCAATGGTTGAGCAGAAAACAAGCAAGTATGTGAAGGGGGAGAAGAAAGGCGGCGACTGTACATGTAAATGTAACAAAGGCTACCAACTGGGAAGTTTAAGTGCAGGTATGTGGCAGTCATTACATTCTTCTTCATTGTCTCCGTATATTAAAATGTTTAAGACAAAAGCTGGAGGGAAAACAGAAGAGCCACTGGGACCAAGGCCCAACAGTGCCAGGACAGCAGGCCCTGCCTAGTGGCAGCTCGTACTCACAGCCCCCAATCTTCTTGCGCAGTTCGCCGTAGCAGATCAGACCATACAGCTCCTGAGATGACTTCTTCAGCCCTCGAGAGAACACTAAAATGAAAGACAGGAATGATAAGGTTTTAGAAGAGGGAAAAACACAGCTGTCCCGGAGTTGGTCAGCTCCTGTGCACAGAAACAGTGCTGGGGGAACATTCCACACTGCCGATTCCTCGGTTTTGCCGACTGCACCTTGGAACTACAGAACATCAGCATCAGGGGAGATGGGCAAAGAGTATACGGGAGCACAGTGCTATTTTGGTAATTTTCAAAATAAAAAGTTAAAACCAGGAAAAAATGGGGGGAGAGGGGCGTGTAGAAAATTAGTCCTAACAGGCAGATCAATGTCCCCTGGGAGGAGGAAAATGGACGCTCAACACAGCCGGTTCCCAAGGAAGCAGAGAAGCTGGGACATGACCATCACCAAGCTTGTCATCCTCTTCTCTCTGTATTTGCAGAATTAGCCTGAGCTCTGTGTGAGGTGGGCAGACCTGGAACTGTGGAAGCTGACCTGTCGTGTCTCCTCTGACCACTGATCTGTATGACCTGGGTCTGGGGCTAGAACCATAGCTCCAATGCTCGAGACTGCTAATACCACTCTCCATTGTTCCCTAATAGTAGGCCCACTTGTGTTTGGGAAGCAACACATATGGGTAAGGCATGGCGGCATCACTAAGTCCCAGCCTTTGGATTGAGCAGAAGTGTAATGGGAGGCTTCTGAAAGGTTCCTTAAGAGGCTGATGAGGGCAGAATTATGCTTATTTTTCCTTCAGAACTGCTTTCTGGAGTCATCTTAGTCACAGCAAAGTGCTAGGGATGGCGGAGCAGAAAGACAGAAGGACCTGGGTCCTTGGTGCTTGCCCTGGACCACCCGCTGCAGGCCGTTCCAATAAGAGAAAATAAAATTTGACATGCCTAAGACACTGTTATTTTGAGTTTTTGTATTCTTTTTTTTTTTGCTGTTTATATTGGTTTAATCCATGTCAAATGTAGTTTACAAAGGGAAAGGACAAGTACCTTTGTATAGAATATACAGACACAGCATCACACCATGGGCCCACGGGAGGGGCGGGGAGACGACACTCTTCCCTGGGAACATCAGCTTTAATCCCAGGAATGGTTCTTGGCAGAAGGCTGGGCAGCCAGGAACACCCTCATCCAGCCCCAATCTCAGTCCCTGCTTTGGCCCGGTTCCCATTTTTGTGCCCCCCCCCAACTCCTTATAAAGAGCCCCAGGAGCTAAGACTAAGGAGAGGATCATGTCCCTTGGGGCATGTGCCCCATGTCTGGGAGAAGAAATATACAACCACTGAACACCGAGCACATGGGAGAGGGGAGGGACACCATGGGAGAGGGAGAGGCAGGCACCCCAAGAGGTGGATGGGCCGAGCCCCCAGCCAGCCCTGAAGGAGGCACTGCTTCCAGGTGTTCTTAAAAAAAGAAAATCATACACCCAAAGGGGACGGGAGAGGCGAGGGTGGGGAGTTATCCCATTTATACACAACATTGTAAACATACACGTCTATATTACATGTGCTTCAGTCTGGTGTTTGCATGTCTATCTGTCTGTCTGTCAGTTGGTCGGTCTGGGGGCTGGATCTCAGGAGCCTTGCCCTGCTACCCACCCCACCTACACCTCCCTGCCCCACCCTGGGAACCTTTCTGTGTAT